TATCACATGTTTATATTAATCGAAAAAAAAAACCAACCAACTTAATTATGAAAAAAATGGTGAATATTGATTGTATGAGGTATATATTAATAAATCATAAAACTGTTTATAATAGTTAATAACAATCAATGAGAAAGGAACTAGACCCCCCCCTCCCTCATGAGCACGCCTTATTACCAATTTATTGTCGTATCTATATAGATACTATTAATTGTCGTACAATCAACTTACTGTCACACGATCAATTGTCTCTCAATTAATTTACGGCATATACTATTATAAATATATGTACTTATTTCAAATTGCCATTGATGAATATATAATACTATTTAGGTATATTAGATATATTAATGTAACTAATTACTTTGTCTACAGACCTACTGTGAATATCTACTATTTGATTTTTTTAAATTCGACTGTTTTTCTCAGTAAGGCATCTAACAATTAAAATAACAAAATAACTGAGAAAATCACAGTAACCACACTAAAATCATATCCTGTACATTATATTTTAGTTACGTTTAATTGATACAAATTAGGTAGTAAGTACATTACCTATAATAATACCTATGTTTGACATATTTTATACGTGCCTAGATACTTTAATAATACTCGTATTATACGCGCTTAAAAGCTGAAATTCTAATTAATTTTCATATTACTAAGTAGGTAAATAATATGATACATGTGCGTTAATAAGGAGACTATATAGTAATGGGATTTTAGAATAATTCCTCTATTAAACGTGCTCAGTGACCTACTTATACGCAGGCAAGCGGCGTCTCGTCGGATCATTATGTCAAAGGATATTTCCGATTTCCGGCATGTATTATGTATGTTACTGCACGGTACCTATATTCTAATTTATAAGTTACTAGTAGTCAGAGCTTGGCAAACTTGAAAATGCACACTAAAATCGAATTTTCAAATCCAAAATTCACAAACAGACACGATAAAAGAATAAATATGAATTTTAGATTTTACTATGTATGATAGTATTTCTGAACTATAGATATTATATTATCTAAAATTGAAAATTGTTAACCGTTTTTTATTTTTCTTCTAAGAACAATTTATAATTATTTATTTATTTTTAAAATCACTGCAGCTCTGTTTATAGCGGACTCGCTAATCAGCTAATAAAAATAGTAGGGTTTACAACACGTCACCGAAACCATTTCACCACTGTTTCGCCAATGAACTGATTTCCCCGCTTTACCCCGTTTTGTTGCTATATAAATATGTACGGCAAAATGATTTACTTAAAAAAAAAAAAATGACGGAGACGGAGTACACGGATAATACTAATTTATTATTTTATAATTGCCTACAAATAATTAATACGATTTTCAATTTAAATATATCAAAACATTTTTAACGTACTCTGTTCAGAATCGTTTTTCGTTCACAATGATTAACCGTTGGAATGTACTAAATTTCCCTGTATACGTGCGTACGCTATACGCGTATACTATACTTACTTTCCGACGGTAAAACGTGTTTGTTTCGCGTGTACGAAAACCACTCGGCCCATAGTGTACACCGCAATCTTAAATCGTGATGTACACCGAAAATATTTTCTGTGTTCGTCCGGCATAAATGAGTACATCGGCGAAGCGGACGACGGCGAATCGGTCCATCGGCAAAACGTGCGTTTTCGAAAACAGTATGGCAATATAATATTTTGTCCGAACACAGTAAATAACAATTAACAGGGTTGGCACGTATAATAATGCGGTGGTCTTTAATCTTTTCGAACTCACGACCCGCTTTTTTAGACATAGATTTTTCGTGACCCACGTAAGGCCGATCGCACACCTTTAGAACAAAACTGCGTTTGTACAAAAACTAACGAAAATCTAAAATTACATAATACTTTTGAGTAAAGAAAAAAAATTGTCGATAGTACTACTATAGCTGAATAAATAAAAAGTATATTGTTGACGAAATAAACGGAAAAATTATTTTCGAAAATAGTATGGCAATATAATATTTTACCCGAACACAGTAAATAATAGAGTTGAAGCGTATAAAATACGTATTATACGTAGGTACGTCTAAAACTACTAATTTTATACTGCATAAAAGTTTTTTTTTTTTCATGGCTGTTCTGAACAGCAATTTATTATCAGGTATAATAATTATTGTCAATTGATAATTGATATTGATTAAAATATCGTGCGCGGAGGTTTTCTGAGGCCTTCGTCCAGTCTGCCCTACCCTTCAGTCGCCGGTTGATGTTATTCACTATATTTGATCCGGTTTTCCGACTTATAACTTCGTGAGGGTGAATGTAAGTTCCTACAGGATAGAAAAATGTAAGTTTTTACGCGGTAAAAAAAAAAGGTGCGTATGTTAGTTCCTATACGGCGGAAAAATTATACATGTAAGTTCTTAAGGAACTTACACATCTCATTTTTATATTCGTATATGAATTAACACATCACATTTGCAGGAACGAACGCACATAATTGTTTACCTGCTGCTATCGTGTAGAAACTTACTACCCCCCCCCCCCGTAAGTACAGAACTTGAATTGGAAAAATAAAAGAAGGGGGACTTTGAAACATAAAAAAGTAGCGTCCCTTGAAATGATTTACATCAACTAAATCGGGATCTAACCCTCAAATTCAAGCACTGCATAAGTAACTGCTTAACTTGGCACCCGATAACTAATATAACTTTGATTCGTTTGATGATTATTATGATAAATTTCGTTAGGTACCGATATCATGAATCATAATAAACATAATAATAAATATTTGTCGTTCATTCAAATTATTGAAGTTCATCTAAAATAATGTACCTATATCTGCGTTTCTTAATCATCGATTCATATTTCACCTATATTTAACCTGCAAATCTTGTTGTGGGGACATATTTTCCCAGTGTTGTCTATACGACGTCGTGTTCACCATAAAATTGCGGACAACAGCAATAGGTACAATAGGTTAGCTGGGCGGTACCAGCATCAGCGGGTAGTTTTGTATCTATCTTCTTTGTGGTTAGAGTAGCCGAATTATTTATCAATGGTACACGGGTACCTCCTACGTTTTAAAACGGGCGGCCAAGTCGCGTAGGTATTTCCATTGGAAGTTTCAACGAGAGCTGCACGAGGTAAGCACAATTATTACTTATTTTTATTTAAAAGTACCGATTTAATGGTATAATAAAATGCACCGATAGTCCATGCCAGTTTAATGATAGGTAATTATTATAGATAATGTATACAAGTTGTGTCATCAGCTATCGATAACCACGATAACCTATTCGCGTAATCGCGTTTAAGACGAGTAATATTGTGTCATAATAATATTATAACTGCGTACTATAACATCATTACCATTATAACCGATTACAATAATAATTATTAGATATTTAATATACCACAACACGGGAAATTCACTGATAATACAGTTAAAACTGTGCCCTCAGGGTTTATGACGGTTGCCTATATAGCCCCTTTATGCAGTACGTTTTAACGTCTTCTATTATTATTACCTACTTCGCGCCATAGGTAGGCCACTGTTGTTGGTGGGTCAAGTGTATTGATTGATATTTGTCACGTTTCTTGCTATCCATTTGACCACTGAAATTTGTTATTTGTATATTTGAAATTAAAACATTTGTAATTAAATTCAAAATAAAAATTAATAAACATCTTCTCCGTTACCTTCATCCCGACTATTTAGGTTCGGCCAACCTTGTCCTAAACTACCACTTGATCCGACATCCCCCACATCATCCTCGCATCCACATTCTCAGTCACATCCAACCTACCTATACAATATAACCGGTCACGCCACACTCTCTTAGAACTTATTACCTTTAAGTCTCATTGGAGTCCTCTTCTCACATAAAACACTTGACGCTTCCCTCCATTAAATTCAACCATACGTAATCCTATGTTTCATAGTCACCGTGTTAAAGTCACCGTTATTTTGAACAAAAGATCCTTAACCTCAAGGTGCTCAACCTCGTCTATTACGTCACTGCTTATTGCCATTAAGTGTCTTGCCAGTTGTCCTGTTCGTCCGAAATTTAATAAACATCCATATGTAATATTATGCATGTGTAATTTTATTCAATTCTTCATTTTTAGTTTTCAATTGATAATACAAAATTTTTATTAAAATGCATTACTTACGAATTTATTAAAATAAATTGAAGTTGAAATTATAATATTAATAGTATACGTTCCACAAATATGTAATGTTCAATATAAATAAGTTATGTTTCAATAAGTTTTACAATCCTGCTTTTTAGGTTTTTATTTTAACGACATTTGTTCAATATAAATTAAATCTCTATCTTATTAGAAACTTACATTTTGAAATTGGCAGCGTAGGTTCCTATGTACTTATGTATTTTATAGAAGTTTTTTTTTGATTTGTTTCATTTGAATAAATATATTTATAATCTATGCATGGATTTTTTAATATAGATTGTCGTGTTAAAATCAAAATTAAATAGGTAATCGTTTCCCGCTCCAAAAATAAACATGACAAAAAAAAATGGTGTTTAAAAACTATTTGTATCTTTAAAAAAAAATTGTTTTAAAAAGTTATTAAGTATCTACTTTGCGAAATAACGAATGTTGTACATTAAATAAATCAACTTATATTCTTAGAATCGCTGAGTGGTAAAAGGATGATATTTCTCAATACCTAACTTCAAATTTCAAAAAAATTGTTTATTTCCTTAAGTTTTATTTGAATAAAACAGACTAATATCTGAGGTAGCGTTTTGCATAAGTAAATGATTGGATACAAAATATTTGTTGTTTCAGCTTTATTTAAAAACTCCACATCTATATTACTATCAATCAACCGAAATCATTAAACCAACAAAATTTTAATTTTAAACTTAATTTTTATTAAAACAAATAATACTAACAAGTTGAAAACGTAAATGATAATATATTCTTATCAAACCAACTGATATTATTATCATATTGTAATATTTTATTGATAATAGTATGGAATTAAAACTCGTGTTAAAAATATACCTAGGTCAAATACTTTAAATTATTATTATTTTTTTATACACTACAAATTTAAAAGTAATTGCAAGTTTGAGAATATTTTTAATTTAACTGTGTAGTCATAAAAAGATGTAGGACAGAATTCAGGTATTTATTGTTTATTTTAATATTTTTCATGAGTGCATTTAATCGAGAAATTAACATCTAGTTTTTTTTTTTTCATCTTTAGTTGATTAATGATGGTTTTCATCAAAGCCTATTCGAATCGTAGTGGGAATGCTTTGTCTGTGGCAAAGGCACATTGTCCACTACTAAAAGCGTATTTCGATTACCGAAGAAATCAAAAATTTAGAAAATATTCAACCGACACTCGTATTCTACCAAAAAGTTTCAAAGTAGCAATATGTGGTGGAGGAGCAATGGGAGCATCGGTTGCTTATCACTTGGCCCAAATGGGATGGGGTCCACAAACCATTGTCATTGAACAAGACTTGTAAATTATTATTACTTGATATGATTTAAATTTGAATAACCTACTGATATTTATTCCACCTAAGGTTAGGGAAGGGTAAGAAATGGTTTTCATCAGATTTAATTGGTGTGTTTAAACCTACTCTTAGCCAAGTAAAACTATGTCAAGCCAGTGTAAAAATGTATCAAGAACTACAATCTCAAGGCTATGAAACTGGTTGGAAACAATGTGGTAGTCTGTGTGTTGCTCGAACGAGGGATCGCATGACTGTTTTTAAAAGAATGAAATCACAATCTGTGTAAGAAAATTAATTTATTATAATTGTTTATTGTTCTTATTTAATATATATTCATATTCATACAATTTAGTTCGTGGGGCATAAATTGTGAAATAGTTGATCCTCAAAAAGCAAAAGAAATCTGTCCATATATTAGAATTGATGACATCAAAGGAGCATTATGGATACCAGAGGATGGTATTGGAGATTCATATAAAATAGGTCTATCTTTTTTAAATGCTGCAGAAAAAAAAGGTATTTTTACATTAAATATATTATAATAGATACATACTTTGTTTAAAATAAATATTTTTTCTCTTTACACATATAAAGTATGTACTTATTTAAACATATAATATTACTGTTATTCAGTGGCGGATTTAACATTTTTTAACCAGTAGTAAAATATGAAATTGATGCCCTTTATTATTTTATATAATATAATATGTTTACATTGTAATATATTTTTAAATTATAAGAGTATTATAATTTAAGTGTTACATATACTCTTGCGTAAAACTAATGGCCACCAGGACCCGTTGTGCTTACCAGTGATAAAACTACTGATTGTCACTATACGTTATTTATTGTTTCTGATAAAATCGTAATCATTTAGGTACAATGTATTTAAAGATTAAGTATTTACAATTTCTAAATCAAATTTAGAACAAAAATATGTTTACATTTTGCATGCCACAGAAATGGCACCCCAGGCAAGTGCCACGTTTGCCCAGCTGTGTTGTTACTATTTAAAATGTCTAAAAAAAAAATTCTAAAATATTAATTTTAGAAATTTAATACAAAACATTTATTCAAAAATTGACTTATATTGATTGATTACAAGTACTTACAATAATATGTATCAACAAATAATAATTTTTTTAAATTTCAGGTGTTTTTGTTGTTGATGGTAAATTATTAGATGTGGTATGTGATAGTGGTAAAGTTGTTGCAATTGATACATCAAAAGGATCATTTGAATGTGATTATTTTGTAAACTGTGCTGGTTTCTGGGCTCGTCAAATTGGACAACTTAGCAATCCTATAGTCAAAATACCTCTTCATCCAGTTGAACATTATTACCTTTTGACAAATCCTATACCTAATATTGATTCTCTTCTTACTCCGGGTATATTTTATTAAAAAATTGAGAATTCATATTTAATAAATAAATTATTTATTATTTTTTTATAGTTGTACGAGATCAAGACGGTCATATTTATTTAAGAGAATCAAATGGATGCATATTAGCTGGTGGATTTGAACCAAACGCTAAACCTGCATTTGAAAATGTGCATTATCCAGGTAAATTGGATTCTTCAAATAAAAAAATAAAGGATAAAGATAAACTATTATTTTCAATTTGAAATAGGTATAATCAAATATTTAAATATATTCAGAATAAATCAAAAAATCGGTATTAAAATAGAATGACTTCAATTTTTATTAATGATTTTTCTTTTTTAGTTTTCAAAAATGTTCAGGATTTTGAAAGGAAAATTCTAAAATATTCCTTATTATTTTGTTTATAAAGTATACTGATTTAACTACTGTAAGAAAACCATATATAGTGGAATCTCACCATTTCGAAGTTTCTGTAGGTCAAATTTTTTTTTTCAGTCTCAATCAATCAGTGTTGGATGTAATTCCCTCGGTAACTCGAAGTTTCAATGTGTCAATTTTTTTTTTTTTTTCATCGGTTTCTTGAGACTTCAAAATACCAAGGTTTCATGGTATTTGAAAATATTTATTTAATATTAATAATAAAATGTCTAAGCACTTAATAATAAGAGACCACAGGGAAATAAAAATAAAACGTATAATAATATATTTAAGGTTTGTAAAAAAAAATATGTTAGTTATTTTATTAAAATACTATTCTATAAAGTATATTTGTAAAATGCATTTAGATATTATGTTTAAATAAAAATGATTTTGTATAATTTCAGATTCGCCGGCTGGTAGACGATTACTAGCTGATTGGGATCATTTCCATGTGCTATTTGAACAGATATTACACAGAGTGCCTGCATTAGAAAATGTTTCACTTGATAAATTAGTGAATTATGCTGAAACATTTTCTCCAGACTGTAAATGGATTGTTGGTCAAGCACCCGAAGTATGTATTGTTTTTTTTACTTAATTAGATTTTTTCTACAAAGTATTCTTTATGTACTTAACTTATTTATTTGAAATATTTAAGGAAAATTATTATAACATATTATGTGTATAATAATTGAACAGTTTATTTTTTAACTTATAGTATACTTTCATAATATTATAGATTAAAAATTATTATGTTGCTGCTGGTATGAAGACAGTGGGTTTATCAGCTGCTGGTGGTGTAGGCCAAGCAATAGCTGAAGCTATTGTGCATGGGTACTCTCAGTACGATCTGTACGAATTAGATATGAGTCGGTTTTTAGGGTTACATAATAACAAAAAATTCCTCAGAGACAGAGTAAAAGAAGTGCCTGGTATGTTTTATACATATTTTTTTTTTTTTAAAACAGATTATTAAATTTGCATTAAAATGAAAAATTAGTTAAGTCAAATACTTATTATATATACATAGATAATATGACAATTTGTACATAGATTATGTATTTTTTCTAGGTAGACACTATAGCCTTCAGTATCCTAATAAAGAATTTAAAACTGGTCGTAATTTAAGAATGTCTCCAATTTATCCAAAATTAAAGGAAGCAGGTGCTGTGTTCGAACAAGTTATGGGTTATGAAAGGCCTTCTTGGTTTGATCCAGACCTAGCAAAAGGTTTGTTGTAAATTACATTTATTTTAAATAATTATTCTATGTTTTATAATTTATAGCACGATTAAATGATGATACTCGTTCAAACAAATTTATTATGGCTAAGACTAATACCTTTGGAAAACCTGATTGGTTTGATATTGTTGAGGCAGAATATGAAGCATGCAGAGAAAATGTTAGTCTTTTAGATTATTCATCGTTTACTAAATTGGATATTCAAGTAAGTACTCCAAATATTTAAACAAAATAATTTATAGTTAACATAGCTATAATTGCATACTACTATACTGCTCAATATTTATTAAATTTTTTAAGCAAAGTAAGGGAGCTATTATTGATTTTTGTCTTTTGAGATGTGGGGGGGCAATATGTCTACAAAATATTTTTATAGAAGTAATAATAGGTATAAAATTGAATACAAATAATATTTTATTATTTTTATTTGTAGTTAAAAATACAAAAATATTAAACATGTGTTTAGAAATGTATCACTACTATAATTAACATTTAGAACTAACATTGTATTATTGTCTATCATACTATACTTCAAATATTTAAAAAGTTTAAATTATTATTTATATTAATGATATTGATATAATTTGAAAGTATTATGGATGTCAATATTGGCCTATGATAACAGAAAATGAACAATCATTTGATCCCAAATAATTTATTTCAGCAATAAATGATGTTTACAAAATCACATAATATAATTTATTAAAATTTCAAAATTGTTTTAGCTTTAAATTTGGAAAATGTTGTGTAAGACTTCTTGAAATATTTGTTTAATTATTATTTATATTAATATTATTAAACTTAAAACATAATAAAGTAAATATTCAGTTTGAAATAATTATAAATTAAATTATATTTAATATATTTTATTTTTTATACTATTATTTTCATTGTCTTTTAAATCTGTTCAATATCACATCCCATTCATATTTCTCTTACTCAAATATATTTAACTCATTTATTTATTTCAATAAAATTATAAGAAAATAAACATTGACCACCAATTTAGTAAAAATGGCAAGTTGTTTTATAAATAATGAGCCTAACTTGCTCATTTGAACTCTGTCTAAATAACAGAACTAATGAATTTGTAAAACTAAAATATATATTTTCAAATGAGATTAATTGATCAATTGCATAAAGTATTGAAAACTTTTATAGAGTGATGGCTATATACCATAGTTCACCCAAGTTATATGATGTTGATTTTAGTAATAATGGATAACTCAGAAAACTACTCGAAAACTACTCATTACTCTAGTAAGAAAAATAAAATACAATTAAATTATTATTGATGATTTGTTTTACAATGAAATCTGTCTTTAATGAATACTCACGAGACCATTAAACGCTTCTGATGTAAAAAAAGTTTCATTGTTTTTATTATAGTCAAATTCATTCAGCTTCTTACGTTATCCCGATTTAAAATTTTCAGCAAGTTTACTAAGTACGATAGTGTCTTTGCTCAAAATAATTTCCACTTTTTACATTAAATCAAATTATTCCCATATGTACAATTGATGCCGTTGCCAAGGAAAAACAACAAACATCGATAAGTACGATTTATGGTTAAAGTAAGATAATAGGACATAATATTTTATTTATATTGACTATATTATAAACGTTATTACTTTTAGTAATATTAAAATTGAACGGACATACAATTTCTTGATTTTACTGTAAAATATTATCATTATGCTAAAGGGGGAAATATGATTGTCCGCATATGTTATAGACAAGTTGAAACACCTATCTTTTTGCTGATTTCCTATTTATTTTGTTTCTTAAAAGTGTATCTAGTGTCTCAGTTCAACTATCGTGTAACATGCACGAACAATGCTTACACAGAATAAGTAAAACTATCTTAATTTTAATTTTAGAGTAAAAGTACCTATTATGAAACTTATATAGAACAATATTTTGGAGAGTTTTTCATTCCAAATATACAGTTCGATATGAGAGATACTAAAACCTTTTTGTTTTTTAAATAACTAACCTATGACATTCCCTCCAAAGTATTGTTCCCTAAAATTAAAATTAAACTAGTTTTACTTATTCTATATAAGCATTGTTTGTGCGTGTTATCCGGTAGTTGGACTGAGACATTAGATGCAGGTATAACGTCCTCTAAAGTGAGATGTCCATTAAAACAGGTTTCATTGCAGACTTCTTTTAAAAACAAAAAATACATATTTAAAGTTATCGCCTGGATTATTTAGTAGTAGCTCAAAAGTCTATTAAAAAAAATCTTAATCTGAATGAAAAAGTGTCAATATAACAGTATCAATGAATATTTACAGTATTATTTAGTTGATAAAATATGTTTATTTTATATACAATTTACAAATTCATTTTTATAAACTTAAACATTTTTAAATTTTTCTTATGATTTCAAAATCACTATATGTATAATCATCAATTGACTTATCATTTTTGAATTCCACTTTTTCGATATGACTAGCAGGACTTCCAATTTCTTGCAACCATTTTGCCATCTCGGCGACTTTTTCTGGCGGCCCTTGTATTGCACCCACTACAGTACCTTTGGGTGTATTTTGACACCAACCTCGAAGTCCTAATAGTTTACCTTGTTCTTGGGTACATTTGCGAAAAAAAACTTTTTGCACACGTCCGAATACTTCAAAATCTACAGTCTTGAGTTTAGCCGACATAATATTATTCAGTTGGAAACGTTCAGAATCAAATTATTTAGTAACTGCTATCACTCTAGAATATCTGACTATTGAATCAATCTTTAATGTACTAAATTAAATTAAAATAATCTGAATAATGTGATAATCCGAATTAAATCTTATATATAATTTTTTTTTCACGTTATCAATCAATACTGGTGTTGATAAGATTCATATGGAGTAACCATAGTTTTTGATATAAAATTGCAAATGTATTCAAGCCATTTTATCTTTAATATAGATAAAATTGATGATTAGATTTGAGCGGGAAATTTAAATTAAATTAGCTGCTTATTCAAAATTTAAGAATTTTATTTCCATAAAATATTTATCGTTTATTATATTATTAGTATTTAGTAAAGTTATCACGAACTTCTACAATTGTTTATAATTTAAATATACTAACATAGTGCCTACTACCTATTAAAGTAAATAATATATACCTCTAATAAAAATAAAGAGTATGTTTATACTTCTAGTCTAAAGGCCGTGAAGTTGTTGACTCATTACAGTATCTTTGTTCAAACGATGTAGATATACCGATAGGCAGTATAATTCACTCAGGTATGCAAAATGTTCGTGGTGGTTATGAAAATGACTGTAGTCTTATAAGACTAGAGGAAAATCAGTAAGTTAATTTCGTTTTAAATTATATTTATTAAAAATAAATTAAATTTATATTATTAGTTACATGATGATTGCGCCTACAATTCAACAAACTCGATGCAAAATTTGGATTGAACGCCATTTGCCGTCTGATAATTCTGTATCTTTAACTGACGTAACTTCAATGTTTACTGCCATTTGCATAATGGGTCCTTTTACAAGACACCTATTGTCTGAACTAACTGAAACTGATTTAAGTCCAAAATCATTTCCATTTTTCACTTATAAAGAACTAGATGTTGGTTTAGCAAACGGTATTAGAGCATTAAATCTTACTCACACTGGAGAATTAGGTTATGTTCTATATATACCAAACGAGGTAAATACTATTTAAAATATTTAAAACTTATCTGCTATGTTTTAGAAGAATGTTTTATGTGATTCTATATTCCTGAGTAAATAGTTGAATTTATTTTTATCTGTTTTAATACTGTTAATTAATGATAAAAGAAAATGGCATGGCCTTGTGAGAAATGTGATATTTTTATTTTGATAAAATAGATATTATACAATTATTGTTTATATACATGTGATTAAGAAAAAAACTGAATTAAAATAAAATGTTTATACTCGTTACAATTTTAAGTAATATGTTTATTATATATACATATATAGTATTATAGTTTTAAATTTTATGATTAATAATTAATTTAAATTAATTTCACAATATTTTAAAATTATTGTTTTTCTATTTATTTCTAATTTCATTATAGTTTTTATGTTAATGCCTAATACAATTCCATTAATATTATTAATACAAAAGTTGTTTGGATGAAAAGGATGTTTATTACATCTTTACACCAAAACTACTTAACAGATTGATCTAAAATTTTGGACAAATATAGTTCTAGACAAGGAATTACATATAGACTAGTCACGCTCTCCCTATATTCAATCCCTAATAGGGGGCTGACACAGGTGTATTGGTATTTCTGTAACGAAAATCAAATTATTTTTGTTAATTTATAGGTTACTTTGGCAATACAGGTGATAAAAAAATAATGGCTATTAATAATAAATTTGGTTGGCTCTGGCAAAGAACCCTTAAAAAAAAATTAACAGTTAATTGTGATAGGTACTGTGAGTCACAAAAAGACATGTTTTATATTTTTACAATTTTTTTTGTTCAATACTATGGATTAACATTGCAGAACAGCTAATATAATATTTTATTACTTAAATAAAGATCCTGCCTGGCCCTATAAAGCAAAACATATTGTTGACTACCATGATTTTCTAACTGAACTATTTGGTATTTGGTTTATTTCGAAAATTATCAAACAGTTTGTAAGATTTATAATCTATTTTACAATATATATATTCTTTTATTTAGTATGTGAGCTATTAAATTATTCTTACATAATAAATCAAGTAACTTCAATAATTATTTATTTTTTTTTTTTTATTTTTTTGTTTTTTTTTATATACATAGTTTTCTTTGCATGTTTACAATTCATTAATTGAAGCTGGGAAAAAGTACAATATGAAGCACGCTGGTTGTTATGCAATGAAGGCGTTAAGAGTAGAAAAATTTTATGCATTTTGGGGACAGGACTTAGATACTACAACAACACCATTAGAATGTGGAAGATCTTGGAGAGTAAAGTTTGATGTAAGCCAAATTGTTTAATAATAATTATTATTATGTAAAATATAGGTATACTAAACTGTGTTTTGAAATTTTTAGAAAAAAACTAATTTCATTGGACGAGATGCCTTATTACGTCAACAGGAAGAAGGAATAAAGCGTATATATGTTCAATTATTGTTAAATGATCATGATCCTGAGACTGAGTTATGGTCTTGGGGTGGTGAGCCTATATTTAGAGATAAAAAATATGTAGGTGCCACAACGACAACTAGTTATGGCTTCACATTTAAAAAACAAGTAAACAAAAATAATAATTATAAACAGAAAATTGTCCATTTGATTACTATAGATTATAATTATTTCAGGTATGCCTAGGATTTGTTCAAAATTTAGATAAAAATGGATTACCATTACCAGTGACAAACGATTATGTAATGTCTGGAGAGTATGAAGTAGAAATAGCAGGAATACGGTACCCAGCAAAAGTAAATATAAATAGTCCAAATTTGCCAACAAAATATCCAGATAAGGAACGCGAATCATATCTTGCCACCCGTGATAAAATGATATCTGAACCGTTATTAAGAAATAATTAACAGGCCAATAATATCAATTAAAAATTATTCACTGTTTTCCTAAGTCTCCAAAATAAGTTTGATTTTCCTATTTTTACCTGTTAGTATTGTTTAAAAAAGAAAAAAGTATTATTTACATGTAATTTCCATTAGTATTTATAAATCATAGATAATTAGATAAGACAAATTTATGTAGCTTTATTTTCCTACGTAAATACAATTTGTGCTTATAGTGTATCACAAGCAGTGGCAGCACCTGAGGTGGGCCAGAGTAGACCGCAGACGACACTAATATCTTCTCGGTCTACGACTGGCCCATCCTGTATGATTTCATAATATTTTTGTTTTTATTACATCATTTTAAAATATATAGTAATGTGGAAATCATAATTATAATTAAATTATATTTAAAATTAATTAAAAATCGTTATCACAATTTTCTAAAATAGAACAGACCAAATAAATTTGCATTAATGAAAATAGTGATTAACATAAAAATAGTACTTTATCATAGGTTGAATGAAATAAGAATAAATTATATAAAAGTTCTGTATTTTCATAACTAAGTGATCATCATATAATAAATTGTAGTTAATGAAAACAGGAAATATGTGAAATCAATAATGCCAATGTTACTCCACCTTCCTTATTTAATCATTTATAATTTCATATTGTAGCATTTTATAATCTTTTTCGTTTGTTTATTGTTTGCTTGTTGTTACTAGTTTCATATTTTGTAGAGAATCTTTATATATTAGTTTAGATATTATTGTAAATTAATTTTATATACCTGTTATTGATGTGTTATTATACTAAAAGGACCCAGTTCGTATATTTATAATAAAATAATTATAAGTTAGCCATTTCATTTTGTTGACACTTTTATAATTAATTTAGTATGAACAGTAACAATTCTTTAAAGCTAATGAATGTCATTTCTTGTTTTAATAAGGTGATAAAAAAATATTGTTAAAAAGAAGTGTATGTCACTGTTTTAATTGGTGGTTATGTTATGGCTCTTTTTAGTAATATATCAAAGAGGGAGAGCATTGTTGAGGTTTCAAAAATTGTCCGCTATTATCCTCAATATAGATGTTTTGTCTTATTTTTTTTTTTTGTTACCCTGTACTTGTAACCATCTGATAAACTAATGGTAATGCAATTTTTGTTATGACACTGGACCTCCCTATAAATCAGTAGTCTCAACTTGGCCCGTCCAGATAAAAAATCCTGGGGTCACCACTGTTCATAAGTCAAGAATATAGTATATAGTTATAAGTTTTGTTAATCTAATACTGCATTTTGTTTTTTAATTGGACTAAGTCCGTAATAAATAAAAAAAATATTGTTTGCTGTGAATTTCCGTAGATGATCCAGGAAAATTAACAATGTAACAGTTTAATTGTAGTAACTAATCAAATTAAATTGCCCTTAACTACCCAAATTATGTAATATTACTTTGGCTAAAACAAAACAATATTTTTCTCTTTAAGTTACTAATATTCTCCATGTAAAATAAATATATATTGTACTTGTGAATGCAAACTCTAGTCATAATATACCTAATATATTCTAGTGAATTTATTTAGTTTATTGCTATTATATATTATGTTATTTTTCAATTTGTTTCCGTGATTTTTTAATAATCGAGTACTATAACTTGTTTTTTTTTTTTTTAATTTGCAATATTTGGTTAATATATATATATATGTATGTATTTATGTAATAGTTATTTAACAATACTATTATGTTGTTATGTATAATATAGTTTTAAACACCATTCAAATATTTGTCAAAAAATCACTACCTGCATATTTAAATTAGTTTGAATTTCCTTTCAGTGATAAAACAATAGACAAATGTTTTTCAGTTTATTCCTTAACCATTAACGTTCAATATATCTTACCACTGTATTATTTTCAATGGAAATAATATCCTTAAATGCAGATAAATAAAGTCTATCTGTCAATCTTGCAAATGGGTTGGAGCAATACTTCTGGTAAAAAACATAAAGTGTAAAAATTAAAAATATAACAAAAAAATATGTTTGTCTTTTTTTCTATTAGAGAAATATTTCTAGCAGAAAAATATAAAACATACAAATTTAAAACAATGAAAATGTAATGCTGTAAATTTATCACTTTTCATTTTTCTTCTTTTTTCGGTTTTTCCCAATTATTACGGAAACCCCTTAGAAAATCATAACATGAAATCCATTCACTACGCTTTGAATCTACAACCCAGCCCTGCCCGTCCCAAGTTTAAATTTAAAGAGCTCTTGCAGATCGTTAGTAGTTATGTAATCATGCATGGTCAGTAAATAAACAGGTGAAATGGGAAAATGTATTTTAGGTTTTTTTTTTTTCTTGTAATTCGAATTTGATGCTGTTTAGAATCATAAATATATATACATATTTCAACATACAAAATAAATTACAAATCAGTGTTTGCTGCACGAATGCCTAAAAATTCCTAATGCAAAACTGTCCTTTTTCTGTCATTGTGATTCTTAATATACAGTGGACAGATATTATTCGTTAAAATTGTACGATAATGATGTCTCTTAATTTAGTTAGATTTTAGTGTTTTATAATTTCATTTCAGATCTTCTAAATTTTAGTCTATGCAATGGCGCCCGCACCCCTTACCAAGTAGTGCAATTGCATGGGTGCTCAATGACGGTGGGTAGAAATTATTAGTTGACATGTACAAATTATAGCCTGAATTCGTATTAGAACAATCCAATTTATAAGTTTGTTAGTTATTTGTGAACCTGTTATTGTGTGAGTGGTGAGTGATCATTATTATCTACTGCTGCGCGGGTTTGCAGGAAATGTTTGTAGTCTGTGTAAGTCGCGCACGACTTTCTATCGTCCGGACTGAATAAACGGTTTACGATTTATACTATTTACAGAGAAATTCTCGTACAAAGTAATCAGGTCCGTAACCTAACAGGTAGGCATACAAAATATAATATACTTAATAAAAAAAAACTATAAGGCGATAGCGCGAATCGGTGGGTGCACAATGCCTATCGTACTAATGCATGTAGGTAAATCTGAGAAAAAAAAAATGTATGTACTCTTCTTGGAATATATTGAAAATGTACTACCACTGACACACGGTAACGGTTTGGTCGTAATAATTGATTATGAACACGAACTAATAAGATCCCTTTCACACGAAACCACCGGGACAGCGACACCGAAACAGCATCGCTAGGTACTATCCGTGCTTCCAGAAGCGCTTCTGTGTTTCGATGTAGATTATAACGTACCATCGGTAAATTTAAAATTTAGTTCAGCGTTCAGTTCTAAAATGGAAGTCGAATATCTGGCACGTGTAGTATATCTGTGTATACTACTGTCGTGTACTCGGTGTTACACGTAAACGAAACGAAAAAAAAAGATAGGAGTTTTTGATAGGTACGTCCACTACTGTCTGACCGGTGACCGTTCTACTGGAGGTCTGTCCAATTCATTTTATATTGATCAATAAGAAAATATGGAAGACAAATGTTTTAATAATTTTCTGCTAGAAAGAAGATCTGACGGGCCAGCGAACAAATATGAGAGAATATATTAAATCACCTCTCACAAAGTAATCAAGAAACGTCAACACGTGCAACTGTCAGTGATTCGAATGAAAATAAAAAAACCGCGCGTTTTTATATTTTACAACAATATAAATTTAAATGGTAGCGCAAACTTCTACGAATGGCGCGCGGCCGACTTGGTGGCGCTGCTCCGGTGGCTTCGTGTGAAAGAGCTCTAAGGTTCTAAATGTTATCATCAAATTGATATTTCCCGAAAACTATCGCCCGGGAGATGTACGGAGGTAATTTTCATTTTTTCTGAAACGGCATTGGTTTCTATAAATAGTAATTAATTTCAAGGGCGCCCGCAGAAATGTTCACTGGGGTTTTAGCGGCAAGGTGTGTGTGTGTATATAAAAATCCCGTGTTGCACGGTTTGACCGCAATGGAAGGTCCGTGAAGTTGGCGGGAACTCGAAAAGCGCTAATTCCCGTTTTGCCGTTCAAAAAAAAAAAAAATTTGAAAAAATATCGTTTCATCCTACGGTGGATTATCCACGATTATAAAAATTTCCCGCCAACTCCACGCTGTGGGAGTTTGTTTGAATTATTCACGATGAACTGGAAGAATTTCATATTTTGAATAGTGTTCTGCAAACCAATTGAGGGGGGGGGGCGTTATTTCTTAATAATGTTGTTTTGACGGTACTCCGGAGTTATTAATGTAACGCCGCGTCCACGGTGAGGCGACAAAAACTCAAACAAAACAACATCAACTCGTGGTTTCGAAAACAAAATGTCTCGTCCCGAGCGGTGTCGGTAAACGTCGAAAGGTTTGCGTTTTGTTTTTGTATCGTCGAACGTATGCGAACGGTGTTTTGACCGGTGGTGCGAATAGCGCGACAGCAGCAGTGAGTGTGCAGTTTCGTTGTGCAGCCCAATAATTTGCAAGTGTACGCTTTAAAATTTGTATAATATGAACGCGAAAAGAAAACGGAACATGCAATGTACTCGTGTGTTTACGGAGCTTCGCAGGGAACCGCCGATATTTCGCGATGCAACGGACGCGAACTATAAAAACGAATTCGAGAACACCGACACGTTAAAAGAAACCGGTGTCCGATTGAATACAGACACCGTATGGAAATCGTTCGTCGATTTGTCACGGTTTTGTTTGAATTTTGTCCACTCGGCATGGACAATATGTTTTGTTTTTGTATTTGGTTATTATTCCAATCGGAGAAACGTCGAGGTTTTGTTTCGTTTCCGTGTCGTCTCACGCCGCGGACCCGGCGTAATACCGAGCACGTTTTAAATGCACATCCAATACCTTTCATTGTAAATATAACGGAATATTTCCTCGTCATTAGCTCTGCCATCACCGATGCGTTTCATCGGGTACTCCGTGTACACTAAATAAATCGCAATTTATTATTCCCCGTAAAGAATCGGTAATAGGTTCTAAAGTTGCAGAATGTTCAGCAATTATCCAACGGGGCCACCACCCAATGAGTCGGCACGTGGTAACGGAATTCAAATGGCGCGTAGCTCTCGACGACGCATCTTTATTCCCATTTGCTACGGAATATTCCGGCGTTTCAACGAACGGAACCCGGAGATTTTCGTGATATTTTCTCAACGCCGTACAACCGCGTCACAACGACGGAATTCGAAACCGAACAAACAACCGTGTCGGACTGTCAACACGGTCGACTGGCGTTACGGTTTTCGCGCCGGACCGCGGCACGTTCCGGGGGTTTCCGTCGTTCGGTTGGCGGACGATCCGTTCGGTGTGCGCGTCAACCGTCGCGGAACCCGCCCGGGTGTTTTCGTTCCGCGGTTCAGGATAGGAAAAAAAAAAAAAACAAAAAAATAAAACACTGTAAAACCGAAACAGATTTCCGATTTCCGCGATCGCGTTTGACGTTACGTCGGCGTGACAACGCGCGGTTCACGTCGAACGGCGAATGTTCTATAGAGTCGTCCGTGTTCCGGATAATACGGGTGTCGTTGGCAATTTCCCGTGATACATCGGCGGCGACCGGTGTTCACAACGAGATGATCGCTGCATGATCGCGCCGGCATAATGGCAATTCCGTCGTATGCGTCAATTCGCGAACCCCCCCCCCCCCACCACCACCCCCACCGCCAAAATAAACTTTTCCAACAACTAAAACAATATTATACCAATTATTACCGTCAATAAACAACTAATCGTGGTCGTTCTAAATTTGTCCATTAGTATTTGTCGACGAGGTAATTTACTTTTCGTTCCTGACATTTCGGAAGGTGTTCAAACCCCCGCCGCGTTCGCCCCCCGAGACACCTACGACGATAAGCGATCTCGTACGTTGACGTAGTGCCAACTCCTACAGCAGACAATGTCAACTCCTACACTGGATGGTTGTAAAGTTGTAAAAAGGCGTTTTAAAATAAGTAAAAATCACGTCGTAAACTACAAAAATAAGATGTAGACATTGTCGTATTTCCGATTTACAGAAATAACGTAGACGTTATCGAAACGTCCGAGAATTTCCGATACGACGCCTTATATTAATGTGTTTACTAAATTTTATTTTACATTTTATTATCACGTCGTCCGTGCGTTTTTTTCCCGCTCGAGTGCAATTATCTCAAATAAACACCATTGTAAAACCAGTATTCACATTGCTCGCTACATTCGAAGTTTAAAATGTAAAAAGATCCGTGTAAGAGATTACACCGTGTTTTAAATCCAGGTAAAGAGATCGTATTTGTAGGAGTTCGAATGTAGCCCCGAACACAGGCCGATAAGCAAAAAAGAAAACGCCATCGGCAACACGCACGTTTCCTATGGGCGAGTCCGAAATGCAGACTCGCAAGAAATTACATATCGACTGAGCGCCCGACGGACAGTGTGACCGACGCAAGTAGCGATGTTCTACGGCATAGGCCTATTAATTAACACATTCGACAAGAAAGTAATCAGTTTCAATTGTGCCGGTATCGTTTAAATTTATTGGCTCATCTTGATTTTTTTTTTCGATGAGACAACTGCAACAGGTGTAAATCGGATGACAATCAGTTATATAGCATATATACTTTGTGCTGCGGGTGAAGGTGAAGGAGAAGAATTATAAAGTACAATATTGTTCGATGGTTGACAATTACAGCAATTTTATTTACACCAGCTCTTTTCGCCTGAACTCCTACTTAATACTTACGGTATATTGTCTTTTTTTTCGTTTTATCACTCTCGTCGGGTAACGGTGTGTCACACAAAATCAAACAAGTGAAGATAAACAAGAGAGTCGAACAAATTTCAACGATAAACACGATTGAAAATAATTACTTTCCTATCAATAGCGGTAATTAATTACAGGCCTAGCGGTAAAACTACGAACTAAGATGTCTGGCGTGTGCTTATGTTGGTCACGCTGTCTATTAGGTACCCGGGCGGTGCGCAACGTATTCCTTGTGAGCCTGTATTCAGGCCTGCGCGATCCGGTAAATAAGCTGGACGGTAACACGGAACCCTTTATAGTGGCTACGTCCCCTGCTTTCCGACGGATTTGATACGTCCGATTGAGTTGTTCGTATTTTATTTCCGTCATGTACTGTACGGCCTATTGTCAAAACCGATTGTTCGCGTCGCTTGTCGGCAATTACATAAAACAGTGGGTGCTGATTTTTCACGACGACCCGGAACGGTAGGGTAAATATTCACTGAACCCGTGGCCCGTGGGTTTTCGCGTAAAAAACGGGGCGCATCCGGGCGAAACGACGTGGCGTTAGCGGGGCGGCTCTGGGCCGCGATATTCGGTTTACTGAAAAATCAGCGCAACCGACTTTTCTGTTTATTTCAGAAGAAAAAAAAAAACCCGTGTTATCGCTACGCGTGTGTCGAGAAACGGTCGTTAACGCAGTCGAATGTCAAGCATTCGCGACTTCGTGTTATATCATCGGAGCACGGCCCTACGGGCCCGCGAGTTAAGACGCGTGTAAATCTTAATCCGTGTACAGGCCTCAAACCGTTCATGACTCATTTGAATTTGATTTTGAATAGAGAGTAGCAAGTTTTTAGACTTGAGGGTCGCGCTGTGCACAATTTTAGTAGCCCGTCAACTGTAACGATATCGTGTGGCGTGAAAATAGTGCACGATTCGAAAAGTAGATATCATTTACTTTACCCCGTCACGCCCACAGACTTCAACATCGGGCCGGTACGGAAGTTCTGTACTCGAACCTCGAGACGCGGGCCCGGCAAATCTCGCTGAAGTTATATTTTCGCCGATTGAAAATCGATATTTTGGACGGGCGCACACGTTTGTCGTCGTGTTAACAAATTCAACTCGCCTCTAATAAATTATCTAATATTAAGATGTTTTTTTTTTTTTTTTTTATTTTAGAATTACTACCCCGGCAAATATTACAGTTTATTCGACAGTATTTGCTAACGGTTAACTAATCGATAATCGCTAACCATTTGGTATCGTCGTCCGGCACAACTTCAACCGACTTTGCTCGTCAGTCGTTTTCGTAGTTGTTTGTAGCCGTTTTGTACTCCAAATGCATAACGCGGAACTAATAAAAAATGATAAACCGATATTGTTACTTGTTATCGTGGCTTTGCGTGTATCAGCCAGCTCCGGCAGAAATTAGTAAATACAGCGAAACTACTCCCGTACGACGTCAGGGTACCTGATTTTGGTGCCCAAATTTCCCGGAAGTAAACATACCTAAAGCTAGCGTGGTTCATTTGACGTTTCATTTCGCAAAATTTTTGTTTTATTTTTTATTTTTTTTTAATGTTCAACCTGTTGTTGACATGTTCAACTTTTAAGTTTGCACGGGGGTTTAGCAGTGGATTAGTATAGGTAGTGGCGACAAGTTCAAACACGTGATGGAAGTTGATCGATAAAATGCGTCAAGAAATGATGAGTGTTGAATGAATCAAACATTTTAATTAAATTAGATAGACACGCGAAACTGGCACCGCAATGTTCGCGGAACATGAAAAAAAAAAAACCGTCTAAAAATGTCTACTCTGATTTTGTCGGACACTGTTGGAAAGCCAAATCCGTAGCAAGGATGAGGCGCTGAGCCGCCGTCACAATGGGGCCGCTAAACTCTGACGAATTTCTTTAACCTAAAAATCCAAACGCAAATATCGTAGTTTCATTTCACTGTATGATATAATCTCTGTCGGCTGTAGCAAACTCTTAAAGAATTTTCGAGATCATCTATATGGGCCTGGAGAGGCTATTAAATTTGACTATTTTATCTATAGAAAATGAAATTTGATTTTGAGCATGTTATTGATAAATTTTCGGCAATCAAATCGAGAAAAGTACTTTGTTTTATCGCTGCGTGTAGATAAAAATTAAGTTCCTCTATATCAATGGTACCCCAGCCTTTTTTTTAATGCTAATTTAATTTAATTTAATTCTCAAAATCTCACCCGGCCCCCTGAAATTACATTAAATTAGACTATTAGAGTTTAGACGACCTTTTTTATTTTTTTTTTTTTTAGTGTGCCGTACAAATAAATTGTATAAAATAACCATGTATTATACGCTATACAACTAAAATTAATTTATTGTTTTCAATTTTACTGATTGTAAAATGTCATAATTATTTTAACAACAAAATACTCGTTATTCCATCATCACTATATTCACTCCGTGAAGTTAAAAATTCCCCCCGGTTGGGAGCCACTGCTCTATATCTATCCTACTTTCTCACTTACAACAGTGGCTCACCCGTCGTGCGGCTAAGTATGTCCGTCCTTTTTTTTATTATTATAATTCGTCCCGAACCAATTATGTAGCATACAATGCCCATTTAAATAACAAGTCCGCGCCCGTTTGGTTTTGTATAGTACGTGCAATACCTACGCGCATAAGGAAAACGAAAATTCAAATGTTTACATTTTCAAGTTCCAACGACTTTTGAAAACTGTCAATCAAATTATTTTTTCTCGTTTAATCGGCCTTTTTTTCCTGACGCACACACACACACACACACACACACACACACACACACACACACACACACTTACACACATTCAGAATCCAAAGTGTATAAATAAATAGGTCCGGCCCACCTCGTAGTAAAACTAATTATAATGGAAAATTGAAATGTATTTATAAAATTAAAATTCCAGTGTTTGAGTATTGAGAAAAAAAAAAAATCGATTTGTTATTATTATCGATGTCAGTACACGGTATTTAACCATTCCCATAGTAACTATGGGATTCTACGATAATTATTCCACGTCTCGTCCACGACTCACGTATACGACACGACATAACCTAACAAAATGATGGCGGGACAACAGCGAATAATCAGCTGTTGTACCCGTCGGATCGCATTTAAAACGTGTTTCGGCGACCCCAAAACTGGCAGAACACTCGAAACTTTCTTTCGCGCCCCGTGACTCCCGGTGACGGGCGCCCGCCCAGAGTCGACGGCCGCGTGGCGACGACCGGGCACCGGCGTTTGTTCCATGGTATCAAACCGGGTGCGCGCGCAATGTTACCTCGGTAGCGGTGCGTGTCGTCGCCGCGGCCCCCTCCGTCCCGCCGGTGCGTGAAAGTTCACTGACGACGTCGTGTCGTGTACGTAGAAAACGGTGTCTTCCTACCCGGCTGGTCCACCGGCCGCCGCGGTTACCGCGGTTCTTCCTTACCGTCGCGCCCGAACTGCGGCCGCGTGCGTGCGCGCGTGTGTGCCAGCCTGCTGCGCACCACCATCCCGCCCGACACTTCCACCGCGGCGACCAGTACCCCTTCCTCCGTCCCGACATTCGACAAACGTGTGCACCCGCGCTCCGCCGCTGATCTGGCCCATTTTCGTCAGTTTTATTGTATTTTTTTTTTTTGATTATTATTTTACTTTTACCCCGTGTCCCGTTCGGACACATCCGTAAAACAGTTTTCCGCGCACAGGACAAAAGCCCTTGTTAACCGCCGCCACCAACGTCCGATGGTATTTTAATACTATTACTACGCGCCCGTCGTAATAATACCTATTATTATATTATAGCGTTTCGCTGCTGTCCCGTCGACAGAGTTGTTCGTGTGCCCGTCTAGAAAATAGATATTTTGTCATCATGTTTACCGCAACCGTCAACAACGTGCTCGTAATCTGTCTGCGCTGCTGAACAATCACGTCGACCACACACTCGCACGCAAACACACACACACACACACACGACTCGCAGCTAAATCGTTTCGTCTTCGTTATCGAATCACGTGACAACACACGCACACAGCCGTGACGTACCGTAATCCTGGCTTTGTGAACCACCCTGTGCAAGCTCGCCGTGTCCGTATCCAACTGACCAACCATGACCAATCAACCTCCCGGTGCCGTGTCCCCCGCAAAGGAGCCCGTCAGGGTCTTCGAAGGAGTCGTGAAACAGGTACGTCGTACATGTGGTTTCAAACCGTAAAGTCGCGAGTTGTGTAATCCCGGCGCATAACATCATATTATGCGATGGCCGCCGCCGTCACCGCCACGTGCGCCACGTTATTCCACACGGTTCTTGTCTCCGGAAGCCCGACGACTTGTCGCGTTTTCCCGGACGTGAAGCGTTCCCGGCTTATTCCGGTCCGACCGACGTGTAGGGGGGCCCTCCATATGTCAGCTAACCCAGTCGGCCTTACGGTACTTGATTTTACCGTTTCGACGGTTTTCTATAACTTTTTAAGCATGCCGAAACGGTATTAAAACCAACGACACGTTTCGTTGTTCCTTTTGTAATTCGTATTTCATTAATCCTACTAAATAAATAGATTAGAAGTTTCCGCTCATGGTTTACTTGTTTGATTGATGTAATGTTATTTATTCCGCGCACCTATCAAGTAGAATGCTATGGAAAAAAAAAAATCTACCATCGTTCGTTATTTTTATATCAAGAACTAGGTATGTGTTATATAAGTTCGGGACGTTTTGGTAGGTGTATCATTTTTATCTTTGATAATATTAGTTACCTACTCGGCGAGTTCTAGAGGTACTGTCCAGAACATACAGAAAATAAATTGTTACAAATAACTTAAACCAGAGTAAAGTAATACCAGTATACATTTTATTCAGTCATAAAGGATAAGTATTTTAGTATCTTACCAATTAAACATATGTAAATTTATTTTCTTTAACCCGCAATAGCTCTCATTGTTCGAACAAATCTAACACACCTATAACTTATTTTAAGAATAACTATTATTATTTATTATTTATCTACACGATTATGAAACGTATAATACCATTATTATTGATAAGATTAAATTATAAAAAAACATGTTTTGGTATTCATATTTTGATAAAATTAGTTAAAAATTATATATTGTTAAAAAAAATCTAATACACGAGTAATCGCATTAAATAAAACACACAAGTGATCCTGGGTTAAATAGATTGACTTTTGATACACCTACTTAACATGTTTTAATCTTATATGTCTATTTTGAGTGAGGAAATTATTATTTTTAAATTTGAAATAATAGCTCTTTCAAACTATTGGAAATTAATATGTTTTATTATGTAGATAAATGTTATTAGTAAATTTTAAAAATGATAAGCAAATTTACAATAGGTAACAATATAATACTTGTAAAAATAACAATCTTTTAAATACCTATTGTTTTTCACTTAGGTAGGTAGATATAATCTAACATATTAAAAATAAAAATGGGTAGGTACTATTTTTAAAGTGTTTTTATTGGAATATTTTATTACTAGGTCCTTACTTAGATATGGATATTAAATTTTATATTTTTTGTGTTGGGTGATATCAAATGTAATATTTATGGGATTTCAAATGTTTTATTTTGTAGGTGAGTACCTATTAAATTATATTTTAATTGAATAATTTAATTTTCTTAAGTTTTAATTGTATGCTTACCTAATGTTTTCCTAAGTCTTGAACAGACTTAATAGGGGATTAAATATTGGAGTAATTAAATAAAATTTGCTTTAATAAATTGAAAGTAATTTATATTTAAAACAAAACTTTTTTCATTATTTTAAACCCTATCTAAATGTAAACTATATTTTTAAATTAAAACTACCACCACCACCCACCTTCAAGAAAAGTAGAATTATAGGTAATCTTGGCAAGTATATTATGTTATAGGCTTTTATATATTAAGTTTTTAAACTAAAAAATATTAACATTTATTTAGTATTTTTGTAATCATTTATATCTACCTATATATTTGTTAAATATATCTATTTATACAATATTATAATTAAGTATGTGTATTTACATACAGCTATAGTTTTTAACGTATCTATTAATTTTGTTCATAAAATATTTACAAATTGTGTAGGTATATACTATATTTGTACTTGTGCTAGATATTGTACATTCATATCTATTACCTATATGGTTTCCATAATCAATCTTAAAGACCTACTTACCCCACTAACCATTATTGTTATTATTATTATTCTTTTTTTAAACTTATAATTAGTAGGTACTTAACACCAAAAATTAAAGTCATTTTTAATCATAAATAGAGAAATAAAAATATTTATAAAAATCAATTTTTAACTTAAATACTTATTAATTATAACACCTAGACAATATATTTTGTCATCATAGTTATATTTATTTGAGGGATCGATAGAGGAATAATTTTTTGTGATCCACTTAATACTTAAATTTTTTTTTCCGTAATTTTTAGTAGGTACCTAACAAGTATAATTTTCATATTTTGAAAGACATACATAAGTTTTTCAATCATTTTTACTTCTCAAAGGCACGTAAGTTTAGTGTATACAAATACATATATATATATATACTTCAATATTAGGATCTAGTGCATAAAAAAATTAATAAATAAGCCACTGTGGGTTTATCTTCTCCTATACACTTAAATGCATTCATCAAATGCACTTAAATGTTTAGTATTTAATTGTAATTTGTTATTTTTTATTCAACAGGTGAACTCCGGTGATTCCATCACTATCCGAGAGGAAGTTTACAGTGGTTATCCGAAAGAAAAGCAAATAATCCTCAACAACATTGTTGCTCCCAAATTAGGCCGTCGACCGTTAGTTAATTAATTTTCATTCATTTTTTCAGTAGATCTCGATCAAAAAATTATTTTTTTTTTTTTATGATTAACTTAAATGTGTTAGATACATTTGCTATAAATTATACAATTGTTAGGTATGTTTATTAATTTTCATTTAAAACAAATTTAGAGCCAATAATGATCCTATATCCAAAGGTACTGAAGATGAGCCATTTGCTTGGGAAGCTCGTGAATTTCTCCGTAAGAAACTTGTTGGCAAAAAAGTGTTTTTCAAAACAGTTGGTCAATCATCTGGTGGAGGAAGGACAGCTCGATACTATGGTGACATCTTTTACCCAACATTGGGTATGGAAATTGTTTTTTTATGCCTACTGTTTAAACTTTATAATAATAGTGTAAATTATATTAAATTGTGTACAATTTAAGTAATTTGTTATAAAACTGATTTTTGGTGGTTTTGGGTTAATATTTTTAATTTAATTTGTTTTAGAAAACAATATCGTAACTGAACTGGTTGAAAATGGTTTAGTTTCTATTAAAAACGTTAAGTTTACTAACCCAACTCCTGATGTTCAAATATTGCTTGATCTTCAGAAAGTAGCAAAAGCTGCTAAAATTGGAAAATGGGACGTAACTGCAAAGGTATCAATTATACAAATATATAGCAAGTTATTGCTTATGATACCTTATTTTAAACTTGTATGTACATAGTGATTTTTTTAGATTGTTTTAACAATTTTTATAATTTTATCTTAATGATAAAAGTTCAAAAAAAAAATTATATAAAGGATTATTACAATCTATATGAATAATATATAAATATTATGAAATAGTGTCACTAATAAAATCGCTCTGTATAAATTAGATTTGTTAAAATGTTACTTAGATTGGTTAAGTATAATTATAAGTTAACAAAAATTGTAATTTAACTTTTTTTTTCATTTTGAAATGTAAATATTAGATTATTAAGAATTACCTAAATAATATTATCTTACTAAATAGATTAATGTTAACTTATCCGTATTCAAAGGTTTTAAAATATCTTATATTCCAAGGGTATCAAAGAAGGAATGATTGTAAATTTCTGAGTTTGTAATACTGTAGCAATATCTGAAAGGTAACTGCTAGTTTTTCCTCTGTCTCATTATGTTAAGTTAAACATTTTACTTTTGGACTTCCAAAAATAAGTATATTATTAAACTTAAAATAAATTTTACACTCTTGTTTTTAACAAACTGAAAATAAAAACATTCTCTTGTTAAAAACATGATAATGTAATTTATATATTACAAAATACAGGGTGATTTTTTTTTTTTTTTTTTTTTTTTTTTGTGAACCAGCAATTATATCTGAGAATTTTAAGTGAATTTGATTTTTGTTTTCTTAATCATTATGGAATCGTTTAAGCTTTATTTTAATACCATATTTTAACTTTTGACCCGTTCTCTCCATATACTTTAAATAAGAACATGCTTTTGATTTTCAAATAGAACACCCCTTTGTTTCGAACACAGATTTGAATAGAGAGTATTTTATTGTACTTATTTAAGGTACATGGACTAAGGGTAAAAAGTTAAAAATTATTTTAAAATAAAGCTCAATATATTCTATAATAATTTGGAAAAAAAAAATCAAATTCACTTAAAATCCTTCTGAGATAATGGCTGATTCATGATAAAAAAAAACATTCTGTATACAATTTTCTAATAGTTTTGCACAATAATAGTTTTGCATTTATACATTATGCATATACATAATTTTATATAAGTCTTGGTACCTAAGTTATAATCTTATCAATATATATATATATATATATTGATATTGGCATATATATATGTTAATACATATATATATATATTGATATTGGCATATATATATGTTAATACATATATATATATATTGATATTGGCATATATATATGTTTATACATATATATATATATATATATATATATATATATGTATAAACACATAAAATTATGTTAAATATTTTATATGTTAAAATATATGAAAAAGCAAAATAAATGAAATGTAGTGGTATAAAATTTAAGAATTGTGCAAAATTATTAGAACATATATTTTGTTGTTTGATACATTTTTTACCTATATATTTTAAAAATAATTTAGCGGTTTGTTTAGCCTAATCTAACGTGACCTTAGATCATATACTATGTAGGACACTCATTAATTGTGATAATTTCAGGCGACCCATGCTAGTGCAAATGCTCTAATTTAGAGGTTCCCAAACTTTTTAACTGTAAACCATATGCCAATTTTTTCTGTTTTTCATAGACATCTAATATTAAATGTCTTTAAATTCATCATACATTTTTTTTCGTTATCAGACTATATATCATATCTATATTTTTTGTTATGCATAGAGAATTTGACTAAAACTCGTTTGTTCTCGCTCATTAGTCAAAGCATATCTAAGTATTCCTCTCTATACAGTCATTAATGAGCGAGTTGTAGGCATTATCTTGAGATGTGCTGTATAGTTTAAGTATAATTTGTCAATTTATATGTATATTTTTTTATATATATTACGAATATTTATTATTAAACTAAAAAAAAAACATTTTAAATCTTTTTTGTACTGTAATTAGGATTATCAGAATTGTACCATCTACCTTGAAATATTAATTTTTGATTTAAAAAGAAAATATATAATATTTATCATTACTAAAGTTAAAATTGGCATAGAAATTATTTAAATTGTTATATATTTTCAAATTATTAAATCAAAATTTGGTATTTACTTAAGGTATATTAAAATATTGTGATGTTTGTAATTACGCCTAGTTTTTAATAAAATGGTGTTTCACATATATAAATTAGGTTTACTTTTTGTAATGATTAGTCTGATTTTTCATTGTTTAGTGTTTAATATTCTGTGAAATAAAATATGGTTATTTTCGCATTTAAGCATTTATGAAATGCTTACAACAATAACTGGTATTAATTTTCTCATATTGAAACTACTTGTACATTTTGCTTTTGTTTCAATATGAAAAAGTTTACATTGCTTTATTTGATAATAATTTAATTGTCTGTAGAAGAGAAACTATTGAATCATTTTATTTTAAAAAGTTAAGAGGATACCACTCGCATATTTTTTATTATCTTTATCTTATAAATGCACAATAGCAAATTTGCGTTCAGTAAATAAATTGTGTGCAGTGAGTTTTAATAATATAGTGAATTGATCTATTACAAAATGTAAAGGTAAGAAGATTGTCTGCATTGAGGTCTTTTTATCTCGATATTTTAGTTTTTAAAGGAAATATGAGTATGTGGATTATAACAATTTGATAATATTATATTTCACTTAAAAATCAAAATATCATAGAAACAAACATCAACACACATTAAGTTTGGTCATAAGTCAATTTGCAATAATATTAAAACTTATTGCACAATATTTACTTAATGCAAATTTCTTATGTTGTGCTTTTAATCTAAACCTCAAATGCTGATTTGGTGTCCTCTGAAAGAAACGCTTAACTATTTATATCCCATTACATGTTTGAATGTTATAGACTCCTCGCCTATTATCTAAGAAGCAAACAATTTTTTTTTAACTGCAAAGGATGTATAAAATCTCAAAATTCACATATGAAGACACGGTATGTAAAAGTTCAGTTTGTTATTATGTGACTGAGGAACGTGTAAGATTGTTGGGTCATTTTTTTTTCCCATTTTTCTTTGTTAATTTTATTGGGAAAATGGAAAAAACGGTGACTTAATTATTCTTCAACTGCTTCATCGCAAAAATTGTATCATAAACTGAGGAACTAGAAGATAGTCCAATGTGGGTGAGCAACTATTTTTCCAGTTTCATCTTTATTTTATTGTGCATTGGGGAAATAGTGGCTCACCTATTTCTTGAACACGTCATTGTCAACATTTAATCATAAGGTGTATAATTTAAACCAATTCTAGTTATAAGTTACATTTTTAAATATTTTCTCTAATATATTGAGCTTGATTTAAATAAAACAATTTCAATTCTTATTATCGTACAAAATATTTTAATAGATAATTTTAACTTAAGTATACACACTTCTTTTTATAACAAATTAAAGTTCATGTATGTGGTGAGTATTTTCAAAAAATATTATTAATTAATTAGTTAGTTGGTCTAAACGTTTTAATTTCAGTATATTTTATAAATTCAAGTTAAAACATTCTGAAAATGTTAGTACAGAAATAAAATTTAAGCCTCATTTAATTTTATATACACTTAAGAGGTATGGATTATAAATTCATAATTATTCTGTTTTATGTTGTTAGAATCCAACAAAGAAGACTAGTTCTATCGATGATGTCGAGGGATTTTTAAAAAAAAACTTAAAGAAACGTATTAAGGCTGTTGTTGAATCTGTTATTGATGGATCGACTATTAAACTATTGTTGTTGCCTGAAGGATACCTGATTACTCTGTACCTTTCTGGAATTAAGGTAAATCAAATTCAATTCATTTTTTTTTCTTACCAAAAACAATAATTTTGAAATATTCATAAATCTGATATAATTTTTTGAAGAGGAAATTATTTAGTTTAAATATTAATAATATTCTCTCATTTTAAAACTTAATTTTCTCAAATATACAATTTTTTTAAATTATTATACTGTAATTTGTGGATAATACCTGTTAGGGTTAATTAATATCGAGTTTAAATAATTATAGTATTTGAATATTAATATTAATATTAATAAACACGTTTGTTGAGTTGCCATTTTTTAATTACAATTTTTTTGATAATCTAAGAAACATGCAGTTCTAAAATGTTCCATTACCATTATTTTCATCGCTTCAATTTTTCGGATGAACCAACTTTTGATTTTTAATAGTAACTTACTTAAAAAATTTCATAAATATATAAAGTATTAAGAATGAAATTGTTAATGTCTGTCAACCTGTTCATAAAATATTCTACTTTTAAGTTTGGTTAACCTATGAAATATTATTCAAACTGCCGTACCGTCACAAATAATAATCTGCTACTTCCCTTATATAAACTTAAAAATGAAATATTTCATAACTGGGATAACGAAAAAAAAATTGTTAAATTTGTATTTTATAAACTTATACTCTATCTATTTATTGAATTTTTAAATATAAGAAAATTGAGTGTTGAATGATAAAAAAATTAATCCTGTATATTGAAATCAAAATTAATTCTTATGATCAATTTTAAAATTTAAATTATTTACAACCTCTACTGCATAAAAATAATGTGGTGTTGTATCTTCTTTATATAGTGTCCATCCGATGGTGAAGAATATGGTAATGAAGCAAAATTCTTTGTGGAAATTCGTTTGTTACAAAAAGACGTTGAAGTTACATTAGAAGGTGTATTGTCCAATAATAAAACACCATCTTTCTTTGGAACTATCTATCATCCGGTAAATAAATTCCATAATATATAACTATTTCATAATGGTTTAAAAATAATAATTTGATTTTTAAAAGGCCGGAGAAATTGCTGTCGAATTAGTCAAACAAGGATTTGCTACATGTCAAAACCGTAGTATGAAATACCTGGAGGGTAGTGCTGACAAGCTAAGAGCAGCTGAAAGGTCAGCAAAGGAGAAGAAATTAAGAAGATGGACATCGTACCAACATACGGGACCTGAGGTATATATTAAACAATTTTTATTTTTATTACTTTTATATTTTATGTGATTGTTTTTTAGATTTCCGAAAAAGAAATTATTGGAACTGTTATTGAAATTATAAGAGAAGAAGCTTTGTTGGTAAAGAGTTCTAATAGTGATAAGCCCAAGAAAATTTTCTTGTCTAACATCAAACCGGCTAGATTAGGAGTTGAACAACCAAGAAGGTATTTTTTTTTTAAATTTTTTATACTTTGATCATATAATATTATTTAATTTTTTTTAATTTGCCACATTTAGCGAACCAACTGGAGAAGACCAAGCACCTGCCCCCCGTGCACCACGGACATTGGCTAAACATTTTTACGAGATCCCTTGGGCCTATGAGGCACGTGAATTCTTGAGGACTCGTTGCATTGGAAAGAAAGTCAATGTATCTGTTGACTACATTCAACCAAAATCTGATAAATTTGAAGAAAAACTCTGTGCTACTGTTACTGTTAATGGAATGTATGTTAAAAATATTGTTTTTTTATTTTATAAACATTAAGAAATATTTTTGTTGGTTGGTAAAAAATTATAATTAGTTTATATCTAAATGTGTTTCATGACCTAAAGTTATTTATTTTCCAATTTTATTTTGCATTTTTTAGTTATATTTTAATTGTCAAGATTAACTGGAAAATAATAAACTAACAATTTCTAATTGTTTTACCTTGAAAGATATACAATTATCTGCCTTATTAATAATTATAAGGGTGTGAGATATAATTTTATTTGTAATTTAATATTTCTTTGTTTTTTTGTTTGTTTAATATAGAAATATTGGTGAAGAATTAGTAAAAGAAGGTTTGGCTACTGTTATGAATAACCCACGTGATGACCAAATGTCTCAGTGTTTCGATGATTTAAAGAAAGCTGAAGAATTGGCCAAACAATCTCACAAGGGACTTTATTCTAAATCACCTCCACCTAAACAACGCATTACTGATTGTTCTAGTGCTGGCGTTAGTATAATACATTATCATTATACCTGATTGAGTTAGTTTTATTAAATTAGTAAGATAATTATTTATATATTTAGGATTCTGCTCGTGCCAAGGCTCTTTTACCCAGTTTACAACGATTCCCAAGGTTTGAAGCATTAGTCGAATATGTTGCTAGTGGCTCTAGAATGCGTCTTTATGTAAGAAGAGAGTACTCTCTTATTACCTTCCTTTTGGCTGGTTAGTAATTAATTATAATAATACTTTCTAGTCAAATATTGTTAATTTATAGAATGGATAATGAAATTATTTACTTTTTATTATATAATATACATATGGGTTTCATCATAATTTAGGAATGGGATAAATTATTGGAATTGATACATTTAGTTAAATAAAATTAGAATTTGTGAAGTCATGAATATTGGTTGGATAAATGAATTATGTACTCTGTTTTTTGTAGTAAAGATCACTACATTATAAAAACAAATTTTTAATAAATTTAATTTAAAATAACATTAGCAGATACAAAATAATATGAATCTCGTTTAGAACCTAACCTTTGTGAATCTGTTATTACTCTTAATTAGTGATTCAAATAAAGTTAAAAGAAATTTTCATCAAATACATTGTCCTCTTTTATTGAAATTGTAATATGTATGACTTATATTTTGTTTTATAATTATTTGAGGTTAATTATTAATTAATTTTTAATTTAGGTATTACTTGCCCGAGTGGAGAACGACCATATAACACTGGTGGTGATCAACCTACAGCAGCTGAAGAATACCACCAAGAAGCATTAGCTTTTACAAAAGAAAAGATCATGCATCGTGAAGTAGAAATTACAGTAGAGTCTTGTAATAAGGGTGGAAGTATGATTGGATGGTTGTTCGTCGGTAACATTAATCTTTCTTTGGCACTAGTTAAAGAAGGACTGGCTAAAGTACATAGGTCGGCTGAACGATCTGAGTACTTTAAGCTTTTGCAGCAATACGAGAAAGAGGCTAAGGAAAAAAAAATTAATGTAATATAAAACATGCCATTGTGCCATTGATTTAAATTTGATTAGCTATATGTAATTTTTTAATATTTAGCTATGGAAGAATTATGTAGAAGAACCAGAAGAAGCCAACAATAACAACCACAAACCAGCATATGAAGAAGTAGTGAGAGAACGTAAAACCAATTACATTGAGGTGCTAGTATCAGAAATCACTCCAGAGTTACATATTTTTGTGCAACCCGTGTCTGAAGGACCAAAACTGGAAACCCTGACAGACAATTTGCGTAAACATTTTGATTCTAATCCTCCTATTGCTGGTTCTTATGCTCCAAAACGAGGTATATTAATCATAATAATCATAAAAATAATATTTTGATGTATACATTCAATAATTACGTACAAATGTTTTATTCAATTTATTTATACATTGTAGGTGAAATTTGTGCGGCAAAGTTCAAGGAAGATCAACAATGGTACCGTGCCAAAGTAGAAAAGGTTGCTGGACAAAACATTCATGTTTTGTATATCGATTACGGTAATAGGGATCTGATAACTCAGAACGAATGCGCCAGTTTGCCTCCAACTTTCAAAAACGACCGTCCGTATGCCAAGGAATATGGATTCGCCTTTGTAAAGCTACCAAAATTGCCAGAATATCAAGAAGATTCCATCTTGGAAGTACGTGATGAGTTCATTAACAAGACCATTAACATCAACGAAGAGTACACGTATGATAATGTTACTCACATAACCGTCAAAGATGCTGACAAAAAGGAGGATCTGGTTAAGAAATTGGTTGAGGAAGGTTTCTTGCTGGTTGAAAGACGCCGTGAGAAATACTTGCAAAAATTGGTAATATAACTTTTATTATAATTTCATGTTCAATTTTCAAATGAAAATTGTTTTTTTTTTTTTTTTATTATTTTAATAGTTAGCAGAGTATATTGAGGCTCAAGAAAAGGCAAAGAAGGATCGTTTACACATGTGGGAATATGGTGACGTCACTGAAGACGATGCTAAAGAATTTGGTTATGCTAAATAATAATGGTCTTTCTTCGCACTTAGAAGACTAATCATCCACTGTCAGGACTTTAACAACTGTACAAAAAAAGGTGTTTTACAAATTTATTAGTCAGCCATATTAATATCTAATCATATTACAAACATAATATCTATAAATACATATAAATACAGTAGATAGTTTATAAATTGACTATTTTATTATGAATATTTTTTTATTTTATTCATTCCAGTCTGGTTGTTAACAAATTTAAGACTTTTAAAATTAACTGTTCATTTATTACTTGTAAAAATGTACTGAATATACCTTTAATTAAATGTTATCTATAAATCTATTGAATTCAATAGTTAAATTTTAGATATTTCTGAGTTTTCATTAATTGTTACATCTCTCTTTTTTCTTTTTTTTTTTGACGTATAGTATTTTAATATGATTCACAATATAGAATCTTATTAAAAACTAAGAGATAATTTTTATCTAAAAATTGTTTATAAAATTATTGATTTATTATAGGTCATTGGGGAATAACTAAAAAATACACAGTGTATATAAAATATTTTTTGAATAAATATTGGCGTGATTAGGACGTTATAAACTCTTCAATGAGTTAACTTGTATTTTGATAAAAATAATGTAAATTTTTTTATTATTACTTGATGCTTTGCTGATAACTAAATTTTAAATATTTTGTAAAACACTATAATTATGTCTGATGTGTAGTGTAAAGACTGTTCAGATGGATTATACAATTATTATCAATTTACATTATTTGTACTGTGTTATTGTTTGTGTTATTATTTGTGACCCTCTCTTGTTATTACTTTCCTTGGTACGTAACCAACATTGCTCCTGACCTTTAACTAAAGGCTCAAATTATATTGTTACTATAATAATTGTTGAACGTTTTTTTCGACAGTGAAAAACTATTTTTGTATTGGGGCGTGTGGTGTATTAAAATAATCAATTTGTTTTTGGTATGGTTGGAAATCTGGTTTGATAATTAAATTATTATTCACTATTTAAAACTCGCTTGAAATATTCGCATCTAGGAGTCTTTAGCCTCTCCCTTATTTTTAACCATGTTAAATATAAACTATTTAGTAATAAAAAAATATTGTTTATTGCACATCAGCACTACTTATTCAAATAATTGTACTGCATAATCATATATTTTGAGGAAAACAATTTGTTTAGTTTAGCACGCTACTCTTATTTGAAAATCATTGGTACGTCATTATAGACACCACTATTTAATCTTTCAGAATATCTGCTGTCGTATAATTACTGGGGCACCCTTGTATATCTCCAATGATACAAACAATAAACTCTGACCTCAAAATTTTGTTCTGTCAACGAAACTGTTACCCTATACTACAAACGCTTTTACACAAAAACTTCAATCCAACCCCAACCAGCTCATCAAAGATTAGGCCTTGTCATCACTACCTGGAAATTCAACTAGACTGGTGCTGTGACTTATAAACTGTAAATTTAAATGTTCATGTAAATGCAACTTAAAGCCACTAGATGCAGTAAACTTAAATAATTGTATAAACTGTAAATTGTAAACATTGTTATTGCAAATTTAATGACACCAGGTGTCTCTAATGTGAGATTTCCTACCACGTTATTATTCATGATAAGTTTCTTATTCCTACCATGATTATTACTTATTATACACTTGTATAGAATGTAATATTTTCTAAAATAACGTCATTTTTCAAAAAAAAACAACTGCAGTAAATTGCCACCATCCTCAATGGGGCCATGCGTAGGTGTGAACATTTTGTTGAACGTGTAATAATGCCATTGTTTATAATATTATGCTGGTCTAAGTCCTTTTTCGTGCAGTAAAGGAACCGATTATTTCTCGATAATTTATGTTTCTGGGTTTGTAATGGTAATAATTGAATCGTAGATTAAAGTACCTAGAGGGTACTTTGAACCAGTATTGACTATTTTATGTTTAATATAATTAATTCACATTAATCGCGTGTGCGTTTGTACAATAATAATATTACATTGATTGATTATAAATTATAATATGTTCTGCGGATCTTATTATATTTATTTCACGAAGTTGTTTGCCTAAGATAAGTAAAAATTTGCTCGAGTATAAAAAACGAAGGTCTAAACCGAACTTAATGATTACATAATAATCTCATTTTATCGTACGGTGTCCTCTAATATTACGATTAGTTGTTCCGTACGTAAATCTCGGTTTTCATTTTTGAGACGCGTTGTTTTGACTGTGAATAATAAACGATTCTGATTGGATACCCGAGGGTTTTACCACTCGTGTACGAAAATCGGCCATAAGGCTATGATTATGGTTATTCTTATTATTAAAGTAATATAGTGGCATGAATTTAACGATTGTTTTGCCTGCCAATATTGTGCTAGCGAAATTTGGCGAACTCGGGTCTCGAATTTTGTAATTTCGGTTTTTTTTTTTTTTGCTAATCGGATGTCAAAAAATTGACGGGGAAATCTCCGAAGGTCGGCACCAGTCGTATCGGGGACGTGTGTGCGTTTCAGTGTAAATTTTCCGTGCGTCCGCGACGTTGGAGTTTTTCGAATACGCCCGGCAAAACATCGTGGTTTCGCGCACCCGACCTAACCTCCAAAAACGTAATCGTACGTAATTATGAAAACGATCAACGCGAACGCGGTGACCTTCCGGGCGTTGGTCGCCCGCCCGGGAAATAAATCAACTGAATTGTTCTAAATTTACGAGATTCTCGCTTCATCAGCGGTCATTGGGTGTAGGCCTTTTGGAATCGTCGTTATGTCGGTCGCGTAGCAAAAGGTCACCCCGGGCTGCGGCTGTAGTAATCAGCTGGCTCACTGGCCGGGAGAGGGGCGACGAGGCCGTAGTCGTGACGTCACGGCGTCGATTCAGCCGCCGCCGACAGCGCTGCGGCGGCCTATGGCTATCGTTCATTCTTTACGTCGCATACGTTCTTTCACTCCGCACCGTTCGTGACACGCAGACTTCAGTCGTTCACGTCGAGTCCAGTACTCATTTTTCCAAGTACTTTTCCGATCTTTACCCAAACAGCAAAAATGGCCGAAGCCAAGGCACCGAAAGACCCGTACGGTTTCGCAAAGGACTTTTTGGCCGGCGGTATCTCCGCTGCCGTGTCCAAGACCGCCGTCGCTCCCATCGAACGTGTCAAGCTCATCCTGCAAGTGCAAGCCGCGTCCACCCAGATCGCCGCCGATAAACAATACAAAGGTGCGTATGCGTAATCGCGGCTATATTTTTCACATTTATTAGGCGAGGTTTATTTTTTTTTTTTTTTTTCGTTTTGTGTCGCGTTCTTGATTTTCGTCCCGACCCCCGGGAGACGCAGCGAACAACAGCGGACTCCCGATCGGGAATCGATTTTGGCGAATTGGGTTAGGTCGGCGGGCGGGGCTTTCGCCACCGCACGCCTTTGTCTGAAACGACACCGGCGTCGTGCATCGTGCGTCGTTTGGTTTTCCCCGCCGCGCGTTTGGTTTCACGGATTTCCCGATACTCCCGTGTTACCACGTAGCGACAGCGGGCGCAATGTTCGTTGAACCCGTGGTCCGATCGGCCTCACTCGTTTCGACGTTGGTGGGGAGAGAAGACGGGTGCCGGGTGCGCCATTTTGCTCGATATCCAGCGCCGTGTGCGTTGTTCTCACGTCACCGTCGTAGGTCGTGACGTGATTCTGCGGCCGGTGTCAGTTTCGGTTTCGGCCAGCCGTATTTTTCGCGTTTCCGTTTGTAGGTTAAGTCTGGCGCCGTATATTATCGTCGGCGGCCGTCATGTTTTTTTTTTTTTTTTATATTATTATTATTTTTCCCCCTTCGAAACGCGTAGGTACGGCCGCTCGGATTGCGAGTGTTCTAGAAACGCGCGTCTGGCAGACTTCGCCGGGATTTTTTTTTTTTTATAGCTCTAGTGGGCGGTATGCCCGCCGACAAACGAACTCGTTTGCCGAGTTCCGTGCGGTTTATTTTTACAATTTTGACGCACCCGTTATTAATAACGTTTTGCCCCAATAATTTTATTAACCCCGCCGTAAAACTGGACGGGTACCAATTTGGTTGTATTTTTTTTTTCTGTTAGCTGTATTGGGTTATTATGATATTATAACTATGACGTTGGGTCAAACTGCCTGGATTAACCGTAGACGCATTATTTTCATTTAATCTTTATTGTTCGTACTTTGTACGTTCGTACGAGTTCTATGAAAGAATATTTCGACATTTAACCAGTCGTTGCCTGTTTAATTTTAATTTAAAATCCAAAGTAAAAAAAAAAAAAAAATTAATCGATATCGCACTAAATAATGTGATAATTATACTGCAGTCTCTTATATAATTTGGTTCTTAGATTATTAGTTGATCGGTACATTATATATTAATTTATTTTATCTGCAATTATTATAACTCTCGCTGAATTTTCAACACCCTAATAATTATAGTAATACATTATTCAATATTTATAAATGATTGAATTTAATTCCGTGTGTAATATAATATAATACTACCAGTCTTTGGATAATTTAATAGTTATGCGAATAGTTGAACCAACGTGTATTTGATTATAGCCCAATAAATGGTTTAAGCGTACCACATTAAGTATTAACATAGTACAAATTGTGTATTATCTTTATAGAGTTAATAATTAATTGTTTTCATTGAGAAACAAAACTTTTTATATATATATTGATTACTATTATTATGAATTTGAATATAAATGCCATTCTTTGGCGTGGAAATAATTGTGTAGGTATATTAATGAATATTCCAGCATTTGCACTTTTTTAAATTTATCCAATTTAGATTATTTTGTTCTTTAAGTTAGCACTATTACATATATAAACACCAATTTGATTTCAACGTGGTACTTAATGTATACAATTTTTTGATAGATTGTCATTGACTGGTGAACTGACACCATTACCCCTAGACCTACCTACCCTAATATGTAAATTATTTGAAATTTTGCATTTTAACTATGTTTTAAAGTATGGATTTGAAATATTTAAATTGATTGTTAATTACTGTTGGCGCTTAAATATTATTTTAAAGTATCAGATTTCTTAATTTATAGTATTATAACACTCACAATGTAAATCTCTTGAAAATCCACGTGATAAAGCTTTTAAGCTTAAGTAGAATCTTAAGTAATCATGGAAATCCTAGTAATCATTGGGAAAATCTTAGTATTCTGGGGTCTAGTGTACACAATATACATCAGTGATTCACTTCTGGTAATAATCACTTTTAATTCTTTATATTCTGTTCTAGACTAGTATTAATTTATTATTTTTATCTACAATTTAAATTTTTATTTTCAATCTGAAACATGTAATTATTAATTATTTTGATTAAAATTAATCGCTGGTAGTAGGTAGGTACCTAGTTTTAATTATTTCATAAATATAATAGATACTGGTAATATTCTTAACAAAAATTGACTATTAAATACAATGGATAGTTATAATATTCTATACAAATGATAGATAACATTCAATTTTTCTGCATAGATTTATACATCCTTATTGTTTGTGTTTATATTTTTGACTGAAATAAATAAGTATTTCCATTTATCAAATAAATAATTATTGCATGTGGCATTTAACCTGCCACGAGTCATATTATTATTTGTAACACATGTGGTCGCACAAGGTCTTTTTGACCATTCACTTATATACAAATGCATTTATTAATGATTTACAGAAATTATATTTTATAATAAAAGTTGGTATTAATAGAACTACTATACTTGAGCCTAAAGTGAAAATAAATTATTCAAAAATACCAATATTAGTGTGTGATGACTAACGTGATGCGTTTAAAACTTAATGAAAATATTGCAACCTTTGATTAATTATTTGAAGAGATAAAAGATAAGTGATTGGATAGATGGTTTTTGTTGGTTTTTCATTTTAAATTGGATGACAATGAAAATAATACCTAACAAAATTAATTGATATTGAGTTTGGTCATACATGGTATTTTTGACAGGTTACCGATTTTAAAAATGGCTATAAATTCGACAAACAATAATTAAATGTTCTAAATAGTTTAACATCTACAATAAAGGTATCAAATTGCATGATATAAAGTAAATCACTTATAATGAGTAATTAGTAAAATAATAAACTCACCGTCTCAAAGACTGAGACGCGACTCATGGCAGGTTGACTGCATTTTATGCAAATGTGATTTACTGTTGCTGTAACCTGTTATATAGCCATTGGAAATTATGGATAGGTGTTATAAATTTATATTAATGAGTAGGTACCTATTTGAAAATATTTTATGTGTTATATCAATGTAGTTACAACAATTTATATTATTTTGATATCTATAGGTATCATGGACTGCTTGGTCAGAATCCCAAAAGAACAAGGTTTCGCCAGTTTCTGGAGAGGTAACATGGCTAATGTTATCAGGTATTTCCCAACCCAGGCTTTGAACTTTGCGTTCAAAGATGTCTACAAACAACTGTTCATGGATGGCGTAGACAAGAAAACTCAATTCTGGCGATACTTTGCTGGTAACTTGGCTTCTGGTGGTGCTGCCGGAGCTACTTCCTTGTGTTTCGTGTACCCACTCGATTACGCCCGTACAAGGTTAGTTTGATTTGTTCATTTGATGACTGGTACAATTGTTATTCAAATATTCTAAATTATAGATTAGGAGCTGATGTAGGTAAAGGACCAGCTGAAAGGCAGTTCAAAGGTCTTGCCGATTGTATAGGAAAAACCGTAAAGTCTGACGGTGTTGTTGGTTTGTACCGTGGTTTTGGAGTATCTGTCCAGGGTATCATTATCTACCGTGCTGCCTACTTTGGATTCTTTGACACAGCTAAGGGAATGTTGCCCGACCCGAAGAACACACCTTTCTTGGTTTCATGGGGTATTGCCCAATTCGTAACCACTTTTGCCGGTATCATGTCCTATCCATTCGACACAGTCAGACGTCGTATGATGATGCAGTCTGGTCGTGCCGCCAACGAACGTATGTACAACAGCACTTTGGACTGCTGGGCTAAATTGTACAAAAATGAAGGTACTGGTGCCTTCTTCAAGGGAGCATTCTCCAATGTACTTAGGGGTACTGGTGGTGCCTTGGTGTTGGTCTTCTACGACGAACTTAAACGCCTTATGTAATTTTGTTTTCATAAAATTAAACAATACTGTGCAGTATATAATGTAATTCAATGGACACTGTTGTAGCGTAAACATTCCTCGTAAAGTGCAACATTATTTTCTCATAACTGGGCTTCTCATTCCAATTGTATCATCTGTTATTCTGTACCGTATCTGTTTTAATTTTTTGTCAGTTATGATCCCATTTTTAGGCAACCTATGTATGTTAATGCAAACTATGTAGGTCCGTGTTTACTGGTTTATTGTTAAAACTGTATTATTTTTTAAATATTTAATAATAAACCATAGTGAAAAAAAAATATTATGTTTTGTTTTTTATTTATATAATCTGTAGAATATTAAGTATGTGCTCCAAAATTTGTGATAAAAAGTTACTAATCCACAGTCATTTTAAATAATTATAATAATTATTTTAGCTTAGTTGAATGTTTCTTAGATTAATTATCTACCTCTGTAAACATTGTTGTATTATATGTTTTTATAATATTATAATATACTTCATGTTGGAGATAATAACAATCTAGAAGTTTTCCAAATTGTTGTAAATTATTATTTTACAAAATTGTTAAATAAATAATAATAATAATAATAATATGAACATTAATTCAAATCAATATAATATGCATTAAAAAAAATCCAGGTAGTAGTAAATAAATTGATATTTTAAAGGTGTAGGTTACAGAATTTACTGTTAATCAAACTTTTAAGTGTATTAAAATCATTTTAATAGTTGTTCAATTATGTGTCAAAGTAAATACCTCTTAATTTAAATTATTAACTCTCATTCTCTCTTATTTTTCATTGCACCTTAATGTTTGTGGTTTAATTTTAATGCATGTTTTGAATAGTAGTAGGGCTAAAGTAAATTGTGATAAAGACTGCTTATTGTGTTAAATACAACAGATTAATTGTGGAATGCCAGTATCATGAATAAAAATCAAAAATTTGCAAAATGCAATTAATAACTACTGAATAACAATGTTAACATCTGCCCACTAGCTATTCCCGATACTCTGAAAATAGGAAAAAAACTACCAGTAAATGTATGACAATCTTGGCCCATTTTTCACTGGTCCTATTATAATTAAATTTATTTTTGTGATTTTTAATAGATTTTTTAGAAGGTTTATTTTTAATTTGTATGTTACATAATAATAACATATTTAACAAAAAATACAAGTACTCGGTCTTCAATTTATAATTTTGTTTGAAAGTTATTTGTTTAGAACTAAATAATTTTGAAATTAGTATTATGATTGGTTATTTATATATCTATCAATATTTCAGTTAAACTGATACGTTAAACTCAGCAGTCTAGATCAGGTGTCTGATGATTATAATAAAGATTGTCTACAAGTTTTAGATAACTTGACAGATGGTAATTTTCAGTATTGATAATTCTATAACAATTGACATAACTGCAGGTTTAGGTGATACTTCGTGAAAACTTAATAATAGGAATTTAAAATGTATTATTTAATAGTTTGTTATTAATTAAAGAATGACGTGTGTAAATAATTTCTTTATTTGTTTTTAAATAGGCAATTTTTTTTTAAATTTTATTTTGAATGATTGTAAATAATTTACATTTTCTATATCGTCTATCAGTCATTAGTGATGAAAACAAATGACATTTATTTAATTTTAGAATTGCAAAAAATTTAAAAAACTTAAAAATTGTGTCATACTAAAATTTTAGGTTGAATTAGATACATTGTGCGATTTATGTGTAAAAGAAAACTTATAAATACCATTTACGTTGAAAGTAATATGGCTTTAATGACCTACAAACATAATATCAAACTTGGTTTTATCTATTATGCTGTGTATTTAACTGTAGTTAGATAAATTCAGAAGTAAAGAAAATGTAAGCTATCTACAATTATTTTCATGATTTATGGTGTACTCGTCTTGTAAACGATCTACTGCTGATGGTAAGCAAATGATTACGTGCAATTAGTTGCATAATATTGAAACACATTTGAACGGTGTACAGCAGATACAATAAATAGTTAAAATAATTAAGTATTGCAATCAGAATTTAAATTCTTCCACCTACTTGATTGTATAATTTTTCAATTTCTATTATTTTTGAATCTTAATATCAAGTATGTTATTGAGCCAAAAAATAACATTCATTCAAGACTTTCCGGTTCCCATGTTCAATTAACTATTACATATTTATTTAAAATTGACTTTTAATGACAGGAAACTTACCCGTCATAAAAATTGTTCTCCAATGACCAAATGTAGTCAGGTTACCCAGATACACAATTTTGAAACTAACTGGATTGTAGAAATTTAATGAAATAGGTAAACTTACTTAGGTTATATAAGGTATACATTTTTTGTTCACAACAGGACACTTTCAAATTTCATAATATTATTATCTTTGAATCTAATATAATGAATATCTAATGACAGTACAATATAATATATATTATTGTTTTATTCTATAGACGATGTACATTATAGAACTGATACACCTTGAACGGTACCTACCTATTTATAATATATTCGATTTTCGCGATAACATTGTACCCATCGTTCATAACTTTTAACCTCAACGATGATGAATATTAGTAGGTAGGTTTTTACAGACATTAGGTATGATGTTGATACCATCAAAAAAGTACGTTGTGAAACTAAGTAGATACATTTGCTGTTGAGTTATATGTACAAGGTCGTAACTAGAGAGGTAGGGGGAGTCGAGAGGTCCGGAAATCCCCCGTTTAAAAGTAGACAAATTTGATTCACTATAATTGTATAAAGAATAATTTTATATTTTCGTTCAAGTAGTAATTTGAAATGAGATAAAGTTCAATCATTTTATTGAGGTTTTATATTTTTATGTGTCCAGTATTAGGTATCTATATTAAAAAAAGAGCTGATACTAAGGATGGGAGCGGCCACTGCTGTAGGTGAGAAGTTTGAAGTTAGGATACATAAGGTTATTTCATTTATATCTATGAGCAACCTTAACGAAAGACGATTCCGAGCACAGTTCGGTAACACATAATTTGAAGTGCCGTACTTTTTCTTTTTGCGATTTTCGTTTAAATTTGATTTCAAAATATTTATTAAAAAAAAATAGTCGTCCAATGATTTTGGAAATTGTACCACGTCTAAGTTAGTCTAATATAAGTGTTATTACTAAGTTTCAAGTCTACGTGTATTTATAACCGAATTACAGCAAAAATTCTCTCTACATTTTTGGTGTTGATACTCTAAGATAGCAGATTAAAAAAGTAACAAAAAAGGTGTCTTGTGATTTTTTTATTAAATCATTTATTCTGGTAGAAAACGTCCGCGTTTTTATAAAATTATGAGATCATGAAATTGTACGTTTTTCTACGTTTTTTTTCCCACTTAAGTGCTTTTATTTAAAAAATGGCGTCGAAAATCAAAAGAAGACCTGTTTAAAGTACAATTAGTCTAAATTAGTAGTTTGAACAGTACAAAAACCTACCGACATTCTCTCAAAAATATTGTTCTTTAAAAATTTCATAAAGGTACTTTTACTCTAAAATCAAAATTAAGCTAGTTTTACTTATTCTGCGTAAGTATTGTTTTTGCATGTTATTCGGTAGTTCGACTGAGATAGTAGATGCTGGTATAACGTCCTCTTAATGTTCAAAAATTTACTATGAAGAATGTTTTTGGTCTTGTTAACTCTCATCGTTGGAAATTCTTTATTTCCAAGCAAAACTACGCATAAAGACAGGAACTCAATTTTTTACAAAATCGTCGTTGTACCGCAATCGATTGTATGCGTTAGAAAATTAAAATCATCGAGGAACGTATTATTTGATAACTTTTGTTATTTAAATAGTAAGAGCTAAAAAAAAAAAAACTACTGGCGTATTCTTCCGCACGCCATCATTTATCTTCGTCGTTTTGTGATTTTTTTTCTCGACCGGTGCCAATGTGCATTTACATTATTTCTATGCAACTGTTGGCCAACCGTTGGCCAACTGTACTTACGAAAATGAAAATTCGTACGCGTTTTAAAATAACGATCGAACTATATATACGATTTTTACGTTAATATATGTATAACAAGGTCGATGTCGGGGCCGTAACTACTTTTTAATATAATAATAGGACGTTTGTACTCACGAGTTATAGAATAAAAAAACCGCACGTATAAATAGCCGCACGGTCATCTGATGTCCGGTCGGGCCAAAAAGTCTATTTGAAATAATATCGCGAGACGTACCTATACCTATCATTTACTCAGCTTTCCGGCTTTGCACCGGAATCATTTTTTCAGGTTTCGCGTGTTGAAAGAAAATTCGGGTGTTACGGGTTAATATACTTTTCTGGTTACGGTTAAATGTAAATTTATTCGGGTTAATTATGGTTAATTTGGATTTTATATTTAAACTATTTTAAAGTAAACATAATTAAAAAAATACTAAAATATTAAAATAAATATGAATACATTACGTTCGGGTGCAAAGTCCTGCATTTACCCATTGCTTTTTTTGGCCGTTGGTTTTGCAGAGATTTTAATACATTTTAAGATTCAAGGACTGCGCCACTTAAGTACATAGTGTCCTATAGTGTTATCCATATTATACTAATAGCTCAGTCAATATTCATTTTTTTTTTTTTAATCGGATTTTGTGTCGGGGAGAAGGGAACACAAAATATGCAGAGAAAAATTAAGTTTCTATTTTCGTCCCTTAACTCTAATTTTACACTTTTTAAAATTTTAAAATTTGTACAATTTGTACAATATGTCCCATTGATACAAAACTCGATTGAATAAAAAAATGAGTATTCACAGAGTTATTATCAAAGACTATAGTAGGACACCCTGTATTATATTATTATCAAAGGACCTACCCATTTACAATAATTATTAAAATAGCTGGTGGCTGTACCCCTAACCGGAGACAACAGTGAAAAATAACAGGTATTCATATGAAAAATCGTATTTTAAAATGTTCATATAATATATTGATAATAATAATAGTAATATATTTATTTATATGAGCATACCTACAAATAAAAATTGAAATTCATTTAATTAGTTTAAATATAAAATTAACTGTAGTTAATTAAAAGTTAATTCTTTTGTATTCCTCAAGTTAGCAATTAATAAGTTAATAGTTAAAAAAATTAATGAATTAAGTTTAAAAGTTAAATTAACTTTAACTTGTTAACTCGTTAATGCACAGCGTTGCATTTTGGCTTGGTTAACAAATTATAATCACGTAAATTCAAAAATGGTACCTATACCCGATATGACG